TGAACTGGAACAAGTCCACCTACTTGCTCCCAACATTGTTCAACTTGAAGGTTCAGTGGGGTATGAAACGGGTGGAGAGTGGAGAAGAAGAAAGATTTTTGGGAGGGTTGATAAGCTTGTAGGTAGAAGTGTCATCGCAGGGTTTGCTGCTGCAGCAACGAATAGTGTCAAGGCTCAGACTGTGACGTACCGCTTGACAAAGGTTGACACCTCCCGCTGGTAGGATGTGCCTTGGTTTCCAATGTCTCTTTCTTTTCTATTATTTGGTTCGTCACTACTCTTAGAGAACTGGCAACCGGTGTGGTAAAGGCAATCAGAAGACTGGTTTCCCATATGGAAACCAAGGGCAAAAAATACTGAGGGATTTATTTCGAAAGTGGCGTTTCGAAAGTGGCGTTGGACACGCCGTCGTTCCCGATGATGGAAGGGGGGCTAGGTCTAGTGGACCCTGCACTAAGGAACCAGGCCCAACTCCAAGGCTGGATATCTAAGGTGGCCAACCAACGAGACAGATAGCACTGGTGACTCTAGCAGAAACCACCCTCATGGAGGAACAGGAACTCAACAGACCGGAAGACACCTGGGCTTGCCTCTTCATGTCGTCGTTCAGCAAAAGAAAGTTGAAATCAACATTATGGGAAGTTATCCAAAAAGTCTGGAGCAAGGTCCCCCTAGATCTGCAACGACCGCCGGTCACCAAGGAGGAGGTGTTGGATCAACTCATCTTTGAAAACCCAACGTTCATAGATAAGGCTACAGGTACTCCATTCAAGGCATCAGGCTCCAATGGAACATTTGGCCAAGCGTGGGTCGGGAAGGGCATAGTACATATTGCAAACCTCTGGTCCCCGATCCTGGGAGGTTGGAAACCACTAGGATAAATTAAAAGGACTCTCAGAGGTTTGCACAGGGTGGAAAGTATCTCGCAAGACTGGTCATGTCTTCTCGGCCCGGGGGGATTGGACCCGTCGGGAACCTGGTATCTCTTAGAACGGGAAAAAGTCGTTGATGTGGTGTGAAAGGTTCTAGAGATTCTCCCCAGTGGTTTCCAGAGAGTGGAAAGGTGGAGTTGTCGAGGCCCAATGAATACTCTGACCCGAGTGGACGAACGCACAATACAGATCTGGGACAACCCAGCACAGACACGGGTTATAGAGAAGAGGAGCAGAAGACATCTCTCACACTCTTTCCTGGGTCGGCATGAGACCACCAAGGCAGCTAAATATTGACCCACTTGGCTGGGCATGGACGGGAAAGGCAGAGGAAGGCTCGACATTGAGCTTGGTAGCCTACTCGACAACACACGGTTACAAGCTGTCCTCCACCAAACTCAAATCGCCCGCGCAAACCGCCAATGGGAAGCATGCCAGTCTCCCTTGGTTGTTCTCACTGATGGTCACGCCTTTAGCAGTTTGGTCGGTAAGTAAAGGAATGAAGGTGAATTTGGGTTACACAAGATGTAAATGGCCATTTGAATCGACCCGCCATCTGTGGTGAGAATGTCCGGCCTCCAAGCAAATCTGGAACTGGTGGGCACATCACTGGAGGGAGTTCAGGGGTCAAGTAGTGGATTGGGAGGAGAGATGGATCTTACTGGGTTTTCTTCCATTTTAAGTATCCGGACACCGTGGCTTGGGGTACATTGCACATGTTGTGAGAGGACTCATCTGTGAGGTTATTTGGAAAGACAAGAGCAGGTCGAGATTCCATAAGCGTTCGTTCTCAAACCTCGAAGTCAAAAGTCATATCAAACAAGGCCTGAAGCACGTTATCCGGGTGGACTGGAAGAAAAAAGCGAATTCTGAAAAATGAAGTAGGAAACAGATCCGGTGGTTCCTTCACACTTGGGCAAGAAGTCTCCAGTTGGCTGCCGTTCACCCAAGGAGAGGACTGATTTTATCACAATGGCTAACAAAAACACAAAACCGGAGGCCAAGCCAGTCGGGTGATGAGACAAACCGTCTGTAGGCAAGAAGGGGGTCTGCATGACCTCAGACAGAGCAAGACAAAGAGCAAACATTCAAGGCTAGCCAGTAGTCGAATTGCTGAGCACGAATCTGACTGTCATAGAGCAGACAATTTGCGCAGGAGGTGAAATTTCACTCTAATTTAGTTTCGTGGGCCCTGTAACCAGCGCACTTGGTTAGGGGACTGTAAGTAGATAGAAAAATGCTCCACTCGAACCAGGACACTCGGTTCTCTAGAGTCGCAGTGGCGTATTAGCAGAGTGTTTGTAGGACCCGGACATGCTCCTCTGGGCCGCGTTAGTCCCAGACTTAGCCTGGCTTAAAGTATGGTCGTTAATTTTTTTTTTACATTCATATCTAGCCTGAATGGTTCATTCCCTTATTGGATTGAAAGGTGCTTCAAAATTGAAATTATCTTTATGTTTAGGAGTATGGTTCTACTTCTCAACTATCTTTACTTGGTCGTTTGTGCAAGTACCTTAGAGCACTATCTTTACTTGGTCGTTCGTGCAAGTACCTTAGGGCCTCGTTAGACCCTCCTTGAAAATCATTTTTTTAGGAAATCGCCGTCGTTACACCGCGTCCTAATTCACCAAATTCCTTGAATGAATGTGAAAACACTCCCGAGAGATTTCATTGGGTTCCTCAGTATCCCCAACCAAAACGTCCTTAGATTCAAGGGGTCCTCACGAGGTCCCTTGGGTTAAAGGAGCCGCGATTAACGGAGTGTTCTGGAGCGAGCGCAAACAGGAAAATTTGGAGTCGAGGTTGGTGCACAGGTTGTCCGTGGTCCATTGGGCGGACATCGCCGTCGTCACGTACCCGACGGGCCCCCAACGGCCTTCCACCATTACCGTTGGTATGAAAATGCGTGGGGGTGGTTCTTCAACTGCAAGGCGCTTCCCGAAGCAGGGTTTTCCGTGCGTGCGTCGCCGATCGTGGTGTCCAACTGTAAAATTTTTCAATTTTTCTACAAGTGATGTTGAAGCACTGTCAACCGATTGTAGTTATCTGCCTAGCGTGTTTTGTCGGCTATTGTCGGGCGCATTGATGCAAGCTTTGTTGGTACACGCCTCGCATGCTGCGATTCATAACAGACGTCCTCTGGCGGTTCCCGCTCTTGGTGCTGGCCACTCTTCTCCTGCTCCTTGTCGTGTTGTTCCACGAGTGAGTCGTTGTGCGGGGTCCTGACAGCAGACGGAAACGACAAACGGTGCGGAAGACAACGATGGACAAACGAGAAACCTCCACCAGACAGCCGGCGCGAGCTATTGACTACTCCACTCCGCAACTTCTCCTTGTAGTAGCCCTCCGCCAAGTCGTCAACCTGCCTGAGATCCTCCCATGTTCCTCCCATCCTTTTCCTCATCCACCATCTCGGCATCGCCCGCGGGATCACACTCGATGCCATGGGGCAACAAAATTGCACAATGGATTCTGATAACGACACACAATCGGATGCATCCATCACTTGTTGCATCAGCTGCCTCTGATTGCGAACGAACAATCTCATCCTTAGGCAAGTTGTCGTTCGCTCAATGCGATTACACATGGCGACGATTGACACAGCTGCAACCACCGTGTTTCTTTCCAATGTCGTTAATGCCTTCGCACCACCCGGGAGCTCTCCCTCCATCGTCACAACTTGCAATGCACAAGCACCCACCACTCGTTCGTCCGCCGTTGCCGTTGCTGCACCTTCTGCACGTCGATGGGAACCGCCCTCGCACTCTCAACGTTTTTCACGCTCATTTGTGAGAGTCTGAAGAGCATGTGGAACACGAAGGTGACGTCACAGTAGAGAACCACTACACATACACACTACGTCGCCCAACGTTCCAATGCCCTCGTTTTAAGCCATGGTCGCCATCAGTCCTCACAGACGTTTTGCCCTAGTCTCCAGTCCAGCCGCCAGGACACCTCACGCGCGGATGCATTACAATGGAGGGTTTGAAATCTGAAATTTGAACCGAGATGTTGGCACCCCTTTTTCGTTCAGCCCGGTAGGCCTCCCCGCCGCCGCCACTGGACCACGCCCGAGGATGCACGGACATCCCAGCACGATGACGGACATCCACCCCCGCGGCTGCGTGTATGCATATGAAATTGGCCGCTGGAGACCTCCAAGGGTTTTCTTTGGGACCCATCGAATTGGGACGCGGTTCCTTGGGACCCATCGAATTAGGACGCGGTGTAACCACGCCGGAAACCGGAAAATTTTCCAAGGACTCCGTCCCACTTCCTGAGGATTTTCCAAGGAGGGTCTAACGAGGCCCTTAGTGTGAGCATTTGTTCGGGGAAAAAAAAAAGAAAAAAAGAATCCAGACGATGGAACTTGATTGAGTAGAACCAAATATTTCTGAATTGCCTGGGGCCGGTCAGCTCAATGATGGTAGATAGCACTGGACACTGACGTGGCACTACAGTAGGCGCCAAGGATCCGCATGAGGAAGTTGCGCAAACGTCGTCCGAAGGCGGGCTACCGCTGGTAGGTTTGAGCTACCGGTAGCGGTTGCCACTCTTTTCTTATTTATTTATTTTTTGGGACGTTGCCACTCGTGGTGGACCCCGAGCTGGAGGGCTCCAACGAGGCGCGAGCCGAATGATGACCGTTCGATATCTGACTGATAATAAGATCGGACCGCGATCCGAACGGCGGCGCCACGTTTCTACTGTGGCCACCGGTAGCCGCCGTTATGGCTGCGGTTTCTCGCGGCTACCGTAGGCCCGAGAGTTTTGTTGTTGGACCGCCAGAGGGCCAAAGCGCCAGAATGCCAGTACTCGCTTCTTCGCGGGGGCAAGGTCCCATTAGGAGATTTCGGCCATTGATCTTTGGTATCTACGATCCGTATCTCTTAATTCGTGCAAGTGCGACCTAGCCCCGGGGCCGTTTCCAGGCCGCCACACACTCATCGTTAATGCACGGTTGGGTTTACGGCTGCGATCCGGCTCAGTGGATGGATCCAGCGGTCGACGGTCGTCGGTCGTCGGCCGTCGGCCGAGGTTGTGGACAAAGTCCCGAGTAACGGGAAGCGTCTTCTCAACGACAGAGACACCGCCACGAGGGTAGAATCGTATATGCCAGTAAACGTTCGCTGCTGAATATTAAAAAGTGAGTTTGAACCCCGGGAAGGTTTTTCCCCGTTCTATTCTAGATTCTAGACTAGAAAAATGTGGTGGAATAGGTCGCAGCACGGCAGCAGCGCCTCTTATTAGGCTGAATGGTAATCGTACGCCCGTACCAAGCCACTGCTAATCAAGCAGGTGAGGATTTTTTTTTGACGATCGAACCATGTCGTCCGTGCGATTCAACCCCCTCTATCTATCAGATGAGAGTACGAACCCTTGTTGTTGTCATCAATAAACAGGAAGGGAAAGGGAAAATGTTATCATATCATGGAAGGAAAACGAATGTGGTTGATATCCTGTGTCTGCCTGGGCTCAGTGCGGGAAGACGTCTACGTGCGGGCCCCCCTTGCGCGGGGCACAGACAGACACGCAGCAGGTGATCTTGGGAAATGGCTGTTTCCGTAGAAACGGCATCGGGAGTAGGTCAGCGGTCGATCGAGAGATCGGACGTACGTTGTGGTTCGGCTATGCCGTCTGAGGTGCTCTTGATTAAAAACGAGGACAGGGGCCTCGCGTATGGGCGGTCGTCCATTGATGAGAGTGGTGGTGTGTGTCCCGTGTGCTGAGGACCGAGCCTATCGGTGGCGTACTGTGGGCCCCCCCATTCTTGTGATGTCATTGCAAAGGAGCGTTGAAGGATGATCATGTGACGGCGTCTAGGTACGTTGAACTGGCTCGCGCGTTGCTCTTGCTCGCTTGCGCGCTCGCCTGTCCGTCAATCTGAATGGTGAGGTGGGGAGAGAGCAATGCAATCGCTTGCCCACATGTCTGTGTCAGGATAGGATGCGTGACTGCGGTTGTGGCGTGTTGTGAGGTAGGAACAGGTAATGGAGAGTGGGTCGGCGCAGAAGAGCTTGAACGTTAGCCTTGGGATGAGGGCCGTCTTCCATGTCGGCTCTTTCTTCCTCTCCTCTCCCCCTCCCCCCTTCCCCCTCCCTCCTCCCCTCCCTCCTCCCCTCCTTCGCGCTCCCCCAGCCACCCCTTCTCTCTTGTTACGTCTCTCTCTCTCTCTCTCTCTCTCTCTCTCTCTCTCGCTTCCTCCCGCTCTTGATTCTCCCTTCTTCCTCTGTTGATCTGGTGTGTTCGGAAGGCCTGTTGCTTACAAAAGTTAGTGTCAGCAGTTCCTTGGGCAAGTATTTCGGTTGGCTGATGTAGAGTATTGGGGCTATAGCCTCAGGTTGAGGGTTATCGGGATTCTCTCTCCCTCTCCCTCTCCCTCTCTCCCTCTCTCTCCATCTTGCGCGTGCGCGCGTGGGGACGCTTCATTTCTATCTTCCGTCACTCATCCCCTTCTCCTCATCCCCCTTCCTCTCGCCGTGTTGATCGGGTGTGATGATAGGCGTGTTGGTGAGAAAAAGCAGCCGGTGAGCAGTCCGTGGGAGAGTATAGCTCATTGGGACTGATGTCGAGTTCCTTGGACGGCGGTGGCGAAGTAGTCCACATCCGTTGATTGGATTGGATGATTGCTCGTTGACTGAGAGATCCATCGCTTGGTTGGTAGGTTGATTGGTGGGTTGATTGGCTAGATGGATGATCGGGCTGATTATACGTTGACGGGTTGGACGTGCCTGTCCTACTCTCTACACGTGGCGTACACGTGGCGCTCGATGAGATCATCGTCACCTCCAACCTTCTCCCCGCTTGTTTTCACTCTTCTTCTCTCTCTTATTAGTACATCAGCTTGTTCCTTCTTTGAGTGTATGTGGTGTGGGTTCTCCTCTCTCTTTTGTTCATTCCCCCGGTTCTCCCTTTAATTTGCCTCCCCGTCTTTCGTCCCTTTCTCCCCTCCTCCTTAGCTGCCCTTCTCCTTCCTTGTTTTCTTCCTCTTCCCTCTCTCTCCTTCTTGTGCCGCCAACCTTCCTTGTTTCGTGTCTCCTCATCTTGAGGGCTACGGTCTTCCCCCGAACATAACGCACCCTGAAATTGAACGTATGCAAGCTCTATTTCCGGTCCGGTACAGCCAAGATGAGGGTGCGTTGTGTTCGGGGGAAGACGGTAGTGTGGTCATTATCGTTGGTGGTGAAGTAGGTCCCCTTCTTCCCCCCCTTCCTCCCCTTCCCTCCCCCTCCCCTCCCGCCCCCACCCCTCCCTTTCCGTACACATACAGTAGTATTATTTGTCGGCCCTTAGGTGCATGTATCATGGTAATAACGCGATCGATGACTGTGCCGTGTGTTTTCTATGTTGCATTTCTTGGTCTCTAGGGCACGGCCTCGCGTGTGGGTACTTCCCTCCACACATTTGGACTGCGGCCCGGGGGAGTGTTGACCTCGGATATCGTTATCGTGGTGGCGAGAGGAGTTGACCCCTCCCCCCCTCCCTCTCCCAACGTTGACGTATTTATTTGTCGGCCCGCAGGTTCATGTATCATCATGACAATAACGCGATCAATGACTGTGCCCTGTGTTTTTCTATGTTGCGTTTTTTGTCTCGCATTCATGGTTTTAGGGCACAGCCTTGCGGGTTACTTTCCTCCGTATTCGAGCTGTGCACCGGGAAGCATCGGCCTCGGGTATCATTACCATGCGGTTGCGCAGAAGACCGGGAGCAGTGCTATCGCGGCGAGTGAGAGAGGAGGGGGGGGGGGGGGGGGGTGTGCCCAAAGCAGTCGTTACTGAGAAAAGTGGTTGAAGAATCATCGAACTGTCACAGCAGGGAAGGCGTCTGGGACCGGCTGTGGACAACCGGGTGGAATCGAGGAGGAGGAGGAGGAGGGGGAGGAGTGGAAAAAGGGCGGGGAGGGGTATTGGTGTACCCTGGGGCAACGTTCAGCAGCAGCACTCTTGTGCAAAAGGAAGGAGCTGACGGTGGCAGAGGGATAGTGGGGGATAAGGAGGGGGATAAGGAGGGGGAGGACGAGGTTTTGCCGCCGCAGTCCCGACGACAACAGAAGCAGGGCGAGAAGGGCGCGAAAAAGTTGAGCCTCGGTGACTTATTATTCAAGGAGCAGAAACTTCCAGAGGACAGCGCAAAACCGGGCAATCTGGCGCAGAGAATAGGAAAAGCGATCCGCCGACCAGGCGCAATGTCCAAAGCACGTGTTTATGCGGACGTCAACGTGAACAGACCGAAAGAATACTGGGACTATGAATCCCTCATAGTTCAGTGGGGGTATGTATAGTTGTCCCCTTCTCCCTCTTTGCCTACGGTTCACCGGATAGTGCTCTATAACGATATATATGCATGTTATGACGATATATATACATATCATGTATGTATATTATCTATAGACGATATATATACATATCATGTATATATGGGGACAGCCGCCGCTCAATATATCCACGTGGGCGGCCTCGTACGCAAGAGGTTCTGAACAGGGGGAGTTGTAAGGAAGAAGATATAAAAAAACAAATTCGTTGTTTTCTTTTTTCTTTTCGCTTTTGCGCTCTCATATCCATGTGATGATATATTTTCTATGTGTATACAATATATGTCGCTGTTCCCTTCCTCTTTTCTTGGCCTCTTTGCCTTTTGGCTGTGTGCAAGTGGGTCGATATGACACACGGGGGTAAGGGCAGCCGCCGCTCAACCTACATCCACGTGGGCGGCCTTGTACGCAAGAGGTTTTGAACAAGGGGAGTTGTGAGTAAGAAGATGAAAAATGAAATGATATTTTCTTTTTTTTATTTCGCTTTTGCGCTCTGATATCTTTGTGACGATGATATATATGTGCATTTCATTTCTTCCCCGTTCATGTGAATGCGTTTGTTGCACGAAATAAGTGTATGTTCTGTACTGATTACTGAAATGATATGGACGATCACCCGTGTGACGACCTCTGGATGGTTCTCTTTGATTGTCTGTCGTTCCGATATAACCTACATCCACGTGGGCGGGGCCTTGTACGCAAAAGAGGTTTTGAACAGGGGGAGTTGTAAGTAAGAAGATAAAAAAGAATTGATTTTTTTCGTGTTTTTTTTCGTTTTTGCGCTCTGATATCTTTGTGACGATATATATATATCGTCTACGGCAATCCTTTCGTGTGATTGAATTCCATTATGTACAAGTCGATTGCTGAGAAGGATTGCGCGGTGAATGGCAAGTCGAGTTCGTCGTCCTGCCTTGCATGTGAATGAGAAGAAGCTGAAATTTGGACTTGGACTGAATCCGCACGTAATTGCGGGTAAATGCACCCACGAAAGGGAGAATGGGAGTTCGCCCTTGTGGTTCTTATTACTTTCGTTGCAGAAGTAGCAGCAACTGACGAGTAATCATTTAGCGAGGAACTTCTCTCGACCGGCCCGCTGGGGGGGGGAGAGGAGGGGGAAGGAGGGCGGGGCCGCGAGGGGGGGAGGGGAGGGGGAGGGGAGAGAGGAGAAGAAACGTCGCTATGTCTGTCAGGTGAAGCTATGCGGGTTATGCGAGTTTCTGGAATGATTGTATCCCTGTCAGGTGAAGCTATGCGGGTTATGCGAGTTTCTGGAATGGCTGTATCCCCGCTTTCTCTCAATTTAAACGCCTGGGCATTAATCATGCAAACGCAGGCATCAGTAGTCTCTATGAATTCGCGTCTACGACTTCGTGCGTCGAATAGAACGCCCCCCCTTAGCAGTAATGACATCCTCCAGTGCTGTTCATAGTGCAGCCGTCCTCCTCGAAAAAGGAGGACGGTTGCAGATCCCCCCCTCCTGCCCTCTGCTTCCCCCCCGCCCTCTTCCGCCCTGCCCTTCCCCTTCCGCCCCCTTCCTCCCTCCCCCCCCCCCCTTCCCTCCTTTTCCCCCCTTGCAGTCTCTCGAAGTGGGAGAGGCAGGGGCGTTCTGCTTCGGAGAAGGAAGCAGCTTGCACGTTCCCCCTCCGGTATTCCGTTGGCAGCATATGACTGTGAAGTTGAAATTCCGTGCAGAGATGTCGAAGGATGATGCAATGCCTTCTGCGTGCTTATGTGAGAGGTCAGGACGGAAGGGGAAATTCAGCGGAGTGTCAGAATTTCTGATGTCAAAGGACGGTTTTTTTTTTTTTTTTTAATAATAATTTAGACCATTTCTCGATTTATGCGTGACAGAGGATGTTTTTTAAGGAGGGAGTGTAAGACAACAAGTATCTGAAGGAAAAACTTAAATGAGAAAAGAGGACAATGTCATCTTTTGCTTCTGTTCACACTCTTTCCGCGTCTTTTCTTCCGTCCATTCCGCATTTGCCCTACGTCTTAGCTCGTATTCGTGTGTGGGTCTCTCCTCGCGCGTCGTTGATGGTGGTTCATTCCATGTACCTGTTGGTTGCCTTTCTTATGAATCCTTGCAGGAGGCTATCACCTTCGCTCCAACGTTTTATAATGCATTTGTTCAGCTGGCGTCTCACTCACATCGTCTTTCTCTTGCTCCCTTTTTCTCTGTTTTCCACTGTTTCTCTCTCTCTCTCTCTCTTTCTTCTACTTTCTCGTTTCTTGGTGGTGCGCAATCAATTGGATCTCTTTCTTTCTCGGCTTCACCTGCCCTCTTCCCCCGATCATAACGCCCCCCCATCAAGACTGTAATCGGGCCGGATATATAGCTCTTCCCGTACGTCCGAAATCAAGGGTGTGCTCTGTTTCAGGGAAAACGGTATCGGTTTGCTGATTGTAAGTACAGAGCTTTAAGGGGTAATTGTTCGACTTTGATCTTTTTCTGGGTTCTCCTTTTCTCCACTCGGCCCGTCTCTCCTTGGAGTATGTATGTAGTGTCTCCGTGGAGTATGTATGTATTTGTACTTCTCTCTTTCGTGCCTTCTTGCGGGGATCTACTTCAATCAGATATCAGATATAAGAGAAGGTCTCTCTTTTTATGGGTTCGCCTTTTCTCCGAGGAGATCAACTTCAATCAGATATCAGATATAAGAGGTCTCTCTTTTTATGGGCTGTCCTTTTTTTTTGAGCTGTTGATCCCCTCGTTTATCGTCCTTTGATCATAACCGGGTCTCTCATCGCTTATACCTGATTGAAGTTGGGTACGGGTGGGTACTTGTTCGCGTAGGTATTTTCTTCCCCTAATTTCTTGTTTGGTGCCTGCGCGTATTTGTTTTCCCCCTAGTTTGTGTTTTCGCGCGCTCAAGTTGTGCTCTAGACCTGCGCGCGTTTCCCTTTGCGTTTTGTATCCACACCTAGTACATCTCCACGCATGTCTTCCTCTGTGTCCCTCTGTGTCTTCCACTGCCTCTTGTAATTCTCTTTCTCCCATCTCGGTTCATTTGTGTTGATGGACCTCTGACTTGCCCACTCAATTTCCTTCTCTCGATCCTGTTGTGAAATTCCCCTGTGATACTCTTTGCTTCGTCCTCTGCTTATGTCCGTCGACGCAACTTCTCATTCTTTTCGTGCCTTCTCGCGCCCACTTGTGCTTGCTGGCGCGCCTTCTTGCCCGCGGCCGCGCCTTCTTGCCCGCGGCCGCGCCTTCTTGCGCTTGCTGGTGCCTTCTTGTGCTTGTTGGCGCCTTCTTGCGCTCGCTGGTGCATTCTTGCGCTTGTTGGCGCCTTGTCGCCCCTTCTCGCCGGTGTTCGCGTCTTCTCGCGCCTACTCGCCCCTCTGGGGTGTGTTCATGGTCGCCCTCTTGCGCTCGTTGGCGTCTTCTTGCGCTCGCCGGCGCCTTCTCTCCCCTTCTCGCCCTCTTCTCGCGCTTGTTGACGTCTTCTTCCTCCCTACTCGTCCCTCTGGGGCGTGTTCATGCTGGCGCCCGCCCGCCCGCCTGTTCGGACTCGGTCGCTCTTCCTGGCACTCGCTCGCATCTCTCCTATCGCTAAATTACGTCGCCACCACACTTGCTTGCGCCGGCTTGCGCCTGCTTGCCTGCCTTCGCCCGCCCGCTCGCGCTTGATTTCCTTCGTTGTCGCCGCTTTCTCGTGCCTCTGCTTGTTCTATCTCTCTCCCGCTCGCACTGGCCTACGCTCTGCTCGCTCGAGATTGCTTCGCACCGGCCTACGCTCCGCTCGCTGGGGAATGCTCTCTTCTTTTTCCCCAATTGTGGGCTTGTCTTTGGGATGATTCATGTTCCTTCTGGTTGTTTGGCGCTTGCCCACACGCGAGCGAACCTTGTCCTCTGTCTATTACCAAGGTTTTTTTTTTTTTTTTTTTTTTTTTAAGTTATTACCAAGGTTTTGGAGATGGTGGCGTGATGCTTTGTTGTCGGTTGGTTTCCTTTCATTATTTGGTCCCCCCTCTTCGGCATATCTTTTCCGTGCCGAACCCGGGGCCAAGTCCAACTAGCAGCGTTGAGCCACCTCAACGCCTGAATCTGGATGCTTTTGCGGAGATGTTCAGAAATGGTGTTGAGTTTCCTGAACTGCACGTCTCCACAAACACGTCCAGATTCAGGCGTTGAGGTAGCTCAACGCTGCTAGTGGGACTTGGCCCCCGTTATCTCATGTGAAGGCTGGGGAGGATGTAAGTCTGTTGAACTTGGTACAATACTGTCACCACTCTCCATAGCATATGGGCGAGCGGCGAGCAGCGAGGCCAACTCTCTTGTTAAACCTGTGTGGTCCCCACACTGTGGTAATTTGTTTGTTTCGCTTTACTTCCGGTTTGGGGGACGGGGGGATGGGGACGGGGGGTGCAGGACAGCCTACCCTTTTCTGTTGGCTTGATTTGAGAGGGAGGGAGAGTTCTTATCTGGTTGCTCTCATGCCCTGACCCTTGTAGTGGAGGACAGCCTACCCTTTTCTGTTGACTTGATTTGAGAGGGGGAGAGTTCTTATCTGTTTGCCTTGCAGTATGTATGTAATCGATCCCGGCTGTGCGCCGGTCTGTCGTCTTGGGATTTCTGTTTTTTGTATGTGTTTTCGCGTTCAGTATTGGTGTGTGTGCCCCCTGCTCTGCCTAACGTTCCTCCTGTTCAGCTCCGCGTGCCCTCTCCTACCCGTCTTCTCCCGAATACAACGTACGGTCATTATAGCCGCATTTAGACTGGAAGATACCCCAAATACGGCTATAATCGCCGTCCGCTGTATTTGGGGGAAGAAGGGTAGCCAACGTTGCGAGCGTTTGTGCTCCTCCCACCCGCCCGTCTTTTTCTTCCTCTCTTATCGGATTTCAACAAGTTGTCGTTGATCGGATGGAAATCGAGGACATTGACATTTGTTTCTCCATGCACTTATATGCACTTACATCGTTTTTCTGTCCAGATGCATAGTGTTCCAACTTTTGATAATACGCCATGTTATCAGTGGCTTTGAGGAGGCGAGGGGGGGTGAATAAAAATTATGCGCGATGATTGTTGTTGGTGACCGTCTTGCGAGCGCGAGCCGCTGTTACGCCAATCAGGAATGTACATCGGGTGATGGTGAATATGCTCGAACGAGTGATTAGAGTGATTGAGAATAGGTGCAAATGAATGGTTAAGAGTGATGGTGATTACTTGCCAAGTACTGATTATTAGCGAATAAATACCTTCCTTGTTATCGCTTGGGCGCATGTGCCGAGCCGCTAGTTTTGTATCTCTGGATGTTTATTTTTATACTAATGCAGGGAGGAAGTGATGGAAGAATGCGCCACGTGGGACAGGGGGAGAGGCGTATATCAGAGAGAGGGGGAAGGGAAGGGAGAGGAGCGAGATAGAGAAGGGCGCGCAAGAGATGGGCGCCCGCCTGTGTGTGTGCGGGGGGAGAGAGAGAGAGAGAGAGAGAGAGAGAGAGAGAGAGAGAGAGAGATTGCATCGGTCAATTGCCTTCACTATGAAGGCATTACCCGCCTGTGTGTGTGCGGGGAGAGAGAGAGAGAGAGAGAGAGAGAGAGAGAGAGAGAGAGAGAGATTGCCGCGACATATCATCTAGTATGATTAATGCAGGAAGAAAGCGATCGGAGATCGGATTTTCAACAAGTAATTTGTTCTATACATATATTGTAAGTTGTTTATTGTTGTACCTTATGCTGTATGCGATTCCTACTAGCAAACAGTCTATAGCGGTGCTCCTTCCCTCACGTGGGCTTGCCAGTGAGTGTGAGTGGACTTGCAGCTAATGGAGCTGTAGCTGTGTGGGAGGGGAGATGGATGCCATCGAGTGCAATCACCTAACAATGTCTATCTTGTCAATGAAAGAACTCTAGACGCATTTATCGGTGTATAAGTACGCGGTCGTATCTGTCATCCTTTTGCATTCAATAAAGTACAAAAGAGTTTACATAAATTGAATTATATGGACTATGTTTGCCCTCGTACTTACCTGCATAGTCTTCCTGTTCTGTCACTGAAGACCTCTCATTCTTCTGTCTACAGAGGAAGAGGATAAGCAGGAAGTGGAGATCAGGGTCATCTTCAAGAAAGGAAGAAGTTCATGAACCAATCTACGAATCTCAATTCTCTCATTTAAGCCCAAGCAAGGGCACACACAGTCCAACGCGGGATGTTTATAGGAGTGCGATCTGAGCGACGGAACGAGGGCCAGAAATTTCTTCTACTCTCGCGCCCAAATGCAGGAGATCGTGCTCCTCATATTCTTTCTTCTCTCTTCTTATTCGGACTTCTTCGGTTTTCTCTCTTCTTAGTCGGAAGTTTCTGGATTTCTAAACAACCCTTAGCTTTAAACACCAAACACCCCACCAACACTACAGTCTTCCCCCGAATACAACGTACGGTCATTATAGCTGAATTTGGTGTATCTTTCAGTCTAAATTCAGCTATAATGACCGTACGTTGTATTCGGGGGAAGACTGTAGTCGCACGAGTCTCAGAAAATTTGTGAACCCAGTCTCAAGAAGTGCATGCACATTCGGACTTTCCTGAATGCCTCTGACTGCAATTACCGCCGTGCCTGGATGAATGTGACCGCAATCACGTCCAGAGATTTTGTACAAAAAGTGCCTACTGGTGTATGGCCTAAGCTCACACGCTTTATGAACCCAGTCAGTCTATCAGATTGCGTTCAGGGCGATCTTCTGTTCTATTTTCGTCCTTAACGCACGAGAGCGCACACTCCTCGTCTGTGTACTGTGTTCTTGGAAGTACCCACTCGGAACTGGCTTTGACGCTGCCTGTCTAGCGGGCGCTTATCTTCTGCTATCACCCGCACTTGCTCACACCATCACGCTACTTCTGCTACTGATGATCTCTCTCCTCGTCTATACTGTGGTCCTGCAAAAAGAATCCACAGGACACGGGCTTCGAAGCGGCCCGTGTACCGTCTTCACCCGAATAGAAGCGGCCCATGTACAGTCTTCATGTGAATAGAATGCCTGGTAATTATCGCCGTATCTGGGCTGAAAGGTGTGCTCAAATAGAGCTACAATGACCGGGTGTTCTATTCGGGTGAAGACCGTAGTCGCGCTTGTCTGCTGCCATCACCTGCACTTGCTCACACCATCACGCTACTTGTGCCACGCCGACAGCATCCCTCCCTTACATCTATGTTTATCCTCTTCGAATCAGCTGGAGCTGCTGCTATGGCAGCATCCATCTCCTCACCTGTTTCATATCCTTGGCCGATTTAGTTTATAGCGGAGCTGGGAGCTGTTACAGTTTCAAGAATGAGCTCCTTTTCCCCTTTGCTTGTCGAAAGCATGCTCCCTGCTGTGCATCCGGAAGTGGAGGGGGTCCTTTCAGTTTCAAGAATGACCTCCTCCCCCGCCCTCCCCCACCCACACCGCATTCGTTTTCTCCTAGGCCGAAGGATAATTTGATTGTTAACCCAAATATTTTTATAACTGTCACGCTAATATGCCCTCGCTCTCCTCTGCTGCGTGTCAACCATCTTCTGTATTGTTTCTGATAATGCCTGAATCCCCCTTCTTGCAGCTGTCACACTAATCGCTTGCCATATGGCCGTCCGAGTATCTTAGAGAGGGCGATGGACAACTGATTCAGGCCCTGACATGCTCTTATGCCATGAATGGAGGGAAAGAAAAAGAAATTCCTTATTGGATTCAGGATAAAAATAGATGGAGAATATTCCCTTTAAAGTTTAAACCAGCGGCACCTTTGAGCCTTCTTTTCCCGATGCCCATTTATGGTGCTAGCCCATTAAAGTTTAAACCAGCGGCACCTTTGAGGCTTTTTTGTTGTTTTTTGGTCCCTTGCACTCACTGCGAGCCGTATTGATCCGGTAGGCCGATTCCTGAAGGAAGAATGTGGCTCGTTCGTTAACGGTTTATAGGAAGAGAATGGCTGGGAAATGTACTGTTGGTTGAACCTCACACGTTTAGAATTAAAATTTAAAACTCGTTGGAACCCTATGCATACCGACCCCCTAACCGGGCTTTAGTTGAACCTTGACGTAGGCCATGTTCTGACTGCTCGAGGCGAGCACAGAGCTTGCCTTTGTCTTGGCGGCATCTGGCGCTCCTTGAATCAAGAGCAACAAAGTAAGGTATTCTGTGCATCGTCTTTAGGATGTCCTTTTTTTAGTCTAACTGCTGCCATTCGGTTATGAAAAAGAGATGAGATCAGGGAGACTGATTGCTCTTGGAATGTGGACGGTCTTTGCTGCTTTCTGTTCTTCAGTGATCAGGATGACTATGAAGTTGTGCGCAAGGTTGGCCGCGGAAAGTACAGCGAAGTGTTCGAGGGTATCAACGCTGACACGGGAGAGAAGTGTATCATCAAGATTCTGAAGCCTGTGAAGAAGAAGAAGGTGAGTTGACCCCATGAGTCCGTGAGTGAAGGAATATATGCTGAAAACGAGTCAAACGGTCAAATAGATCGAAGATTGCTCATTAAACCGCCAGTACACCTGGGCCTGGTGCTGTTTCATTGTGCGCCAAACGTTTCCGAACCGCCGGTGGCGCACATTTTTCGGTTTTGGCTGGCGTCGCCAGCCATCGTGGTCCGGTAGTCCCGTGCTGCAGAATTTTCGGAGTAGGTGACGAAGAATTTTCTACAACAAGGGGGGGGGGGTGTTCTGGTGGTTTAAGATATGGTCATTGTATTTAGCATAAGTTATCGAGTGATATTGCTGACTGTTGCTTTGCATCTTGTGTTTGTTTGTTTGTTTGTTTTTTCGCTTGTTGGCTTGTTGGCTTGTGTAATGTAGATTAAACGTGAGATCAAGATATTGCAGAATCTTTGCGGAGGGCCCAACATTATCAAACTTCTCGACATCGTCAGGGACCCACAGTCGAAGACACCAAGTCTTGTCTTTGAGTGTGTCAACAACACAGACTTCAAAGTCCTCTATCCAACTCTTCTTGACTATGACATCCGATACTACATCCACGAGCTGCTGAAGGTGGGTGCTGTTGCTTGTGCTTGTGGTCAGGTTCTTTCTGATAGATTCTCATTCTCAAGCCGTTTGATCGTGATATCCACTTGCTGATGTCATAGATGTCATTATCAAATCATTGCCTAGTGCTGGATGATCAGCCTGGCAGCATGATTTCGTATGAGCCAGTTCAGTGGCGGGCTGGTGTTAGAGAGGTGGGTAGGGTGTGGTCTGGTCTCTGTCTACTTGCTTGATGCGTTGCAATGACTCTATGAGATTTTTGCAAGGCATCAAGCAAGTAGACTGGAACTCCACCGTGATGAGAATGTATTTTAGCGGAACAAGTGGACCCCGCCACGGCTACGTTGTGGCGCACAGCAACACTCTCTGATGGCGACAGTTTGCTCATTCTATCGACGCAAGTAGCGCGCGGCGAGGCGTTGGGTTGGAGACTTATCGGCGCTCTCTCTCTCTCTCTCTCTCTCTCTCTCTCTCTCTCCCTCCTTCCCCCCCCCTGCCACACACACACACACACACACACATATTCCATCGATAGGATGAGCAAAATCGGAATGAATCTTCCGCTGAAACGCGGGAACATACACTGCCACTTTTTGATTTGCTCATTCTATCGATGCAAGTAGCGTGCAGCAAGGCGTGGGGTTTGAGACTTACTGTCTCTCTCTCTCTCTCTCTCTCTCTCTCTCTCTCTCTCTCTCTCTCTCCCCCCGCCACACACACACACACACATTCCATCGATAGGATGAGAAAAATAGGAATGAATCTTCCGCTTTTGCTCATTCTATTGATGCAAGTAGCGTGCGACGAGCTGCGGGGTTGGAGACTTAGCTGTTGGCCGAGGTTGGAGGTTTATTGTGTCTCTCTCTCTCTCTCTCTC